CCCTCCCACCCCTGCCCCTCCCATCTCTGCCCCTCCCACCCCTGCCCTTCCCATCCCTGTCCCTCCCATATCTGCCCCCTCCCATCCCTGCCTCCTCCCATCTCTCCCCCCATCTCTGCCCCTCCCACCCCTGCCCCTCCCATCTCTGCCCCTCCCACCCCTGCCCCCTCCCATCTCTGCCCCTCCCACCCCTGCCCCTCCCATCTCTCCCTCATCTCGGCCCCTCCCACCCCTGCCCCTCCCATCTCGGCCCCTCCCACCCCTGCCCCTCCCATCTCTGCCCCTCCCACCCCTGCCCCCTCCCGTCCCTGCCCCTCCCATCTTTCCCCTTTCCTCAAGAGGCCTTCATGCTCTTGTGGATACCCGGGAAATCAGTCCCTGGGAAAAAAAAAAAATCATGAAAACGTGCCGCGATTTTTGAGAAGCCACAGCCATGCAGAGTGACTCAGCACCCATGTCCTGCAAGCACCCGGTGGCAGCAGGTCAACCAGAGGCAGCTAGCTCCCCACCCCGCACACAGGTCATGTACGCCGAGCGGTGGGGCCTGGAGCCCTGCGCCCTGCCCGTGATCGTGAACATCTCGGCGGCCCACTGCGACACGCTGGATTTCAGCCCCCTGGACGAGTCCTCGTCCCTCATCTTCTACAACGTCAGCAAGCACCCGCGCGGCGGCAGGCAGAGGAAGGCCCGCGTCCTGCAGGCCGGCACGCCCCTGGGGCTCATGGCCTACCTCTACTCCAGGTGCAGCCCCCGGCCCCTGGGGGGGTGGGGGGGGACTGTGGGCTCCCCTGGGCCCCTGCGTGCCTTTTGGAAGCAGGAGGGAGATGGAAACAAAGAAACAGGCCCCCAGAAGGCGAATGAGGTGAAAGTCTTTGCCTCATCGGAGATGGGTTGGCACTTCTTTTGATTTAGGAAATTTTGAATCAGAACTTTAAGCTGCCTCGTGTCAGCTGCCGCTTGCCTCCTCTGCCGGGCTCTTGGCTGGACGTGCACCTGTAGACCTGGGCGTCTGGGTCTCAGCTGTGCCGGGGCAGGAGCCTCGGAAGAGAGACAGGGGATGTGGGATGCACAGTTAACAGCCCAGGGGACTTCTGAATTTAAACACACACGGGAGCCTCAGAGACCTGCCTGGATTCCATCCGCTTTGCCGGGTCAAAACACCCCTTAATTAATCGTGTGGCTTCCCAGGGACTGCCAGTGCGGTTGGTCCCAGCCACTCATTGAACTATTTCTGCAGCTGCCGCCTCTCGGCAGAGCCCTGCACTGGTGCCTCAGACACTCTGACTGATCCGTGCACAGGGGCGCGTTCACCCTGCAGCATGGAGGACCAGTCCACTCACACCCAGGCTCGCAGGGATCCCCGGGCCGCCCCCTGGCCCCTCCTCCCTTGTGCCCGCCCCGTCCATCGGCACAGCCACGAGTCCCCCTGGTACAGGCACAGGGCCTCCTGGCAGGTTCCCTTGACCCGATGGCCCGGCCCACGCCACGGGGGCCAGCAGGTCAGGGCCGGGTACAGACTACCTTCCCACACAATGGTGGAGGCCTCCCCCGGTTCTGGCTTTGGGGGGCCCGTGACACACTTGGGGGCTCCCGGGGCCCTCTTTGAGCTGAAGGCTGTGGTGGTCCCAGAACTGATAGTCAGGTGTCAGCAGGGGACACTGGGGGCTGTCAGGGGACAAGGGAAGTACCCTGAGAGCAGAGGCGTCCTGGGCCTCCCGGGATGGCAGCCTCTTCCCGTGTTCTCCAGAGGTGGGCTGTACCGGACTGTGCTGGGAGACTTCCCCTGGCGGGGGTCCTCCGACCAGCCCTGACCACCCGCCCGATGAGGGCGGGCTGTGCCAACACAGGAGACGTGCATGTGTGTGTGGGGTGTGTGTGTGCTTGGGGGGTGTGCATGTGTGTGTTGAGGGGTATTACGCGGCGTGCTGCGTATGTGCGTGCACAGCACCTCCAACAAGGGGAGAGCCCTTGCTCAGACCCCGTAGGCACCCCCTTCGTGGGGCAGGCTGGACCTGACCCCGGCCGCAGCACCCCCAGCTCCCAGGAGCCCCAGGGTGACCAGGTGGCTAGGCTCCCTCACCCTCCAGACACCAGGCCTCCACCCCGAAGCCCCTTCCAGGAGCCTTACCAGGACCCCTGCACCTTTCTTTCTGGGACTCAGTCACTGACCTGCATGGTGTCGCCCGCCCTGGGGTTCCCTGGGGCACCCCTGCGGGCGGGGGACGCTCATTCCCTCACCTGCCTGGTTTTGCCCTGAAGAGACTGAGAACTTTGGGGCACAACGAGCAGCTCTCCTTCCTAATGTAGTGACTTCCAGTTTGGGGGCGGGGGTCACTGCCTGCGCACACGAGTCCCCCCAAACAGGTTCTAGAAGCAGATAGCGAGGGTGCCTGAAAACTCGACGTTAAAGAAGGTCCTCCTGCCAGAAATGGTTGGGAGTCCCCAACGTTACCAATACCCGCACGACCTTTTACTTCTCCACGTGCTTCTCCTGGCAAGGGCCGCGCATACCTACGTGCTCACACACGCGGAACTCACGCGCCTTCTCGCTCACGCACATTCACATGCGCTCTCTCTCACATCTACCTCAGAACTGCTAACGGGGGCTGGGGGGAGCCGGGCCCTCCCTCCCCGCTTACCTGAAGCACAGGTAAGGTCTCCTGGGAGGAGCGGCCTGCCCGGCCCGCCCCGGGGTTGGGGACGGATGGAGCTAGGAGGCGGGCGGGCGGGGCCGAGCCTTGGCCTTGCCAGTGTTCTGAGCACCTCCTCTCCGCCCCAGCGACGCCTTCCTGGAGGGCTACGTGCAGCAGTTCCTGTACACCTTCCGCTACTTCTGCACACCCCACGACTTCCTGCACTTCCTGCTGGACCGCATCAACAGCACCCTGTCCAGGTACGGCCCGGCCCACGAGACGCCACACAGACGCACGGTGGACCCCGTGGCGCCTTGTCAATGGCTGTGAAGGGCGAGGGGGGCCCTGCCGACCCTGGCCAGGATGATGGCTGTGCCTGGCCGGAGAAGGCAGAGCAGGAGGGAGGGTGCGAGGGGACGAGGAGCCCAGAGAAGGGAGGGAGCAGCAGGAGGGGAGAGTGGCTGGGGCACCTGGGTGGCTCAGTCGGTTAAGTGTCAGACTCCGGCCCAGGTCCTGATCTCGCAGTTTTTGAGTTCGAGCTCTGTGCTCACGGCTCAGAGCCTGGAGCCTGCTTGGGATTCTGCGTCTCCCTGTCTCTCTGCCCCTCGCCCGCTCACGCTCTGTCTCTCTCTAAGATAAATAAACATTTTAAAAAAAAAAAAAAAAGGGGGGGGTTTTAAAGGAGGGGAGAGTGGCCAGAAGAGACCACCGATGCTAATGGAGGAGGCAGGGAGGGGATGGCCCGGGTGGGGGCACGGGGGGAGGGGGGTGCTGTCCTGCAGGCCCTCAGCCCTCCTCAGCAGCAGCGCATAGGCAGCCCAGGACTGCAGTCAGTGAAGGATGTAGGACTTGTTCTGACCTGTTCTCTGACCTGGCCTGTCGTCACCACAGGCTCCCTGCGCCTGCCTGGCCCATCAGCCATCACCTCCCTCCTTGGGGCGGGGACTCACAGGGGAGACCTCCGTACCCCTTACTCCTGCACGTGTGGGGCCAGGCCCCCACTCTGCCTCTCGTGGAGTGCGCTCACACCATGTGCCAGACCCCTGGCATCTCAGCCCGAGCTGCAGGGGTGACAGGTGCCTCAGGACTGGCGCCAGGCAAGGCTGGCGGACAGGCAGCAGGCCCCTGTCCCGAGTCGCCGAGCCCGAGGCCCAGCTATGCGGCCACGGCCTCTCTCTTCTGTCCCCTGACACGGGCGAGATAGGGCTGAAACACCCCTCGAAGGCAGAGCCACGTTCAGACCCCACTCACACCCCCTTGCTGGGCAGTGCGTGACCCCCAGCAGCAGACAGAGCCGGTAAAGCTTAGGTCTCTGCCGTCTGCCTCCAGGGCTCACCAGGACCCCACCTCGACCTTCACCAAGATCTACAAGCGAAGCTTCTGCCTCCTGCAGGCCTGGCTGGAGGACTGCTACACCGTGGACTTCACTCGGAACTCCGGGCTCCTGGGCAGGCTGGAGGACTTCCTCTCTTCCAAGGTGAGTGCGGCCAGAGCCGGCACCGGGGCAGCCCCCGCATGCCCGTGGGCAGGACTCGGGGTGAGAGCCACCAGCCCTGTCTGGGTGACCAGTGACCACCCTGTGCTTCTGCCCAGATCCTGCCCCTGGACGGCTCTGCAGAGCGCCTGCTGGGCCTCCTGGAGGTGGGCACTGACCGGCGGGCCGAGGGCACCTCACGTGGCACAGACCTGGAGGGCCCCAAGGAGGCAGAGGAGGACACCAGGCCTCTCAACGCCCTCTGTAAGAGGCTCTCGGAAGACGGCATCTCCCGGAAGGTGGGGGCCTTTCCCGGACTGGGGGGACGGGGGGTCTCCTGGGGCAGAGGCAGCACAGCCCAGAGAACGCAGTGCACGCACGCATGCATACACACATTCACACACGCGCTTGTGCACTCACACGTGTGGACACACGTACAGACACACGTGCAGCCCTGTGAGGCTGGCACTTCCCGCCCGCCCTCGCCCTGGACGAGGACAATGCAGGAGCCCCGGCCAGGTGCTCAGATGACCTCACGTTCCTGATGAGTGGAACAAATCATTGCCAGGAAATGGCCTAGGACGGAGGGACCGGGTCTGAAGGGACCTGCCCATAATATATGGGTACGGCGCCACACTTCTTCAGGGGGGGACCTGCTGAAATGACCAGGACAGGTGTCCCAGAGCGGTGGGTGGCAGAGATTGGCTCTGCGGCTCTCTCTCTCTCTCTCTCTCTGAGCAAGGGCCTGGAGCCCTCCTGGTCCTCCCCACCCCCACCCCCTCCCCTCCGGGCTCCTCCTCCCGCCCCTTTAGCACCTTCTGACCTCGCCCTGCAGAGCTTCCCCTGGAGGCTGTCCCGGGGCAACGGGCTGGCGCTGCCCCACCACAAGGAGCGCCAGTACACCATCGCGTCTGCCCTGCCCAAGCCCTGCTTCTTCGAGGACTTCTACGGCCCCTATGCCAAGGCCAATGAAAAGGGGCCCTACTTCCTGACGGAGTACAGCACCCACCAGCTCTTCTCCCAGCTGACGCTGCTGCAGCAGGTGACGGGGCCGGCCAGCCTGGCGCGGGGACGCCACGGGGAGGGACGCGGGCGCCCTCGCTGGCTCTCTGGCGTTGCTGGGCGGACGTGCGGAGGGCAGTGAACTCGGCGGGCGGGGCTGCGCCCTGGAAAGGCCCGGACCCTGCTCCTACTCCCAGCCCTCCCCCTGCCCACCGGCGCCCGCGTCCCTGACACTCCCGCCTCGCGAGCGCTAGAGGGCGCCCTGTGGGCCTCCTCCCTCCTGGCGCCCTGAGCCCCGCCCCCAGGTGTCCTGCCATCCCGGGCCCCAAGTCACTTGGCGGGTGAAGGTGGTGATGGTGACCCAATGATCCCACCTGCTGTCACCACGGCTGGGCAAAGAGGCCCCCAGAGATGCTGCCTTGTCCACGAGGCCCCTGGGAAAGGTGCCCTGAACATCTGCGTCCTTGTCTCCGACAGGAATTGTTTCAAAAGTGCCATCCCGTCCACTTCTTAAACTCCCGGGCCCTGGGCGTCATGGACAAAAGCGTGGCCATCCCCAAGTGAGTGTGCACCTGCGGGGCGTCACCCCAGAGCTCTGGGACAGACAGATGGCTGGTGGCAGGGGCTTGGGGGCTTCCCCTGAGTGTCTCGTGGACACTCTTGGCCAAAGGGAGACGCCGATGTCACAAACGTCCTCGGAGCCAGACGCTCCCCGCTCCGCAGAGCCCATCCTGCTGGCCCCACCCGGGTCCAGAGAGCCCCCTGCGGCCCCCGGGGCCCGGGCAGGGCCGCGGCCACACGTCCTCACCGGCATGCACACGCCTGTCTCTTCCAGGGCCAGCTCCTCCGAGCCTCCGACCGCCAAGACGTGCAGCTTGTTTCTGCCCAACTACGTCCAGGACAAGTACCTGCTGCAGCTTCTGAGAAGTGCGGACGACGTCAGCACCTGGGTGGCTGCTGAAATCGTGACCAGCCACACCTCCAAGGTGGGTGCCCGTCTCACAGGAGGGCCAGGGTGTAGCCGCAGGGGCGCGGCCTCTCGCGGGGGGCCCCAGTCGTCCCTTCTCCGTGCACGGGGCAGCCTCAGACTCCGCCCGAGCAAGGGTGAGAGCCACGTCACAGCCTCTGTCGACAGCATCAGGCACACCACCCGGCTCGCCTGCCGGGCACCGTCTGTCACACCCCGACCCTAACACCGCAAATGCGCACCGGCTCTGAGCGCCGTGGCAGCCCCTCGTCCGTGCAACTTCCACACGTGTGCCTGTGCACACCTACAGTGTCACACGTGCACGTGCAGTCTTACACAAATGCACTCTCTCACACACATACCCCCTCACACACTCACAGCCACGTGACCATTCCCTCACACACACTCACACACCCACACTCCCTCTCACACTCACGTACGCAGCCGCAGGGCTGGGAATTGTGACTCCCGGCCTTCCCGCTAACCTGAACTTTTCGAGGGTGGGGACCAGCTTGGTTCCTGTCACAGCCCTGCAGCCAGTACGGTGCGTGTTCTCAGCAGGTTCGTGGGATAAACAAAACGGGTCAGCGGTCCAGTCAAGGTGAAGGTCTTGCCGTTCCAGGGCCCCTTCTACGCCCCGCCGGCCTTCCCCCTGACGGCCAGTCTCTCAGCCTGAACTAACCCACCTGCTTCCCGGCAGCGCACCAGGCAGGCCAGGAGGGACAGTCACCTGCCTCAGAGCCGGCGCCTCCCTCCGGGTTCCCACTCACTCACGAGGGGCTGGGGGAGGACGGAGTCCCCGGGCCCCGGTGCGTCCCGAAGGCCTCCGCTTTCCTGCCACCTGAGGCCAGCCCCGGCACGGGGCATCGCCGAGTCCTGCCCACTTGAACTGCCACACTGGCATGCTGAGGAATGAGGTTGGGACCACAAGGGCTCCTCCCGTGGGCGGATTCCCACCACTCCGCAGGCGGCAGCAACCTGAGGGCAAACTCTGGCCCAAACATAGGGCTCCTCCTGCGAGATCCCCATCACCGCTGCCCCTGGGCTGAGCGTGACAGGGGAGCTCAGGGGTGGGGGACGCCATCATTCTGCCCCCGGAGCCGCCCCCAAGCCCACAGGGGCCACCACCCCCCCATCACATGGCAAAGCACAGAAAAGTCTGTTCCAGCACCTGTCTGCGATTTCTTTTCTTTTTTTAATATTTCTCTGCGTCCCCCTGACCCCAAAACCCACAGGGCAACCCAAGACCCATTAGCAAGTGCAGAGTTCTCTACATTTTTCCCCTTAGGGGAGAATTTTCGCACTTTAGAGATTTATTAGCCCTCACTTCTCTAAGATGTGGGAACAGGGAGCCTGGGCTTACCCGGTTTGTTCTAATCCACGACGTTACAAATACCGTGACATCAGAACGTAGCTTCCCTAAACCAGGTCTTCAAACAGGGGCCTGTGTGGTTAGTCCTCACGAGGACTTCCAAGGACAGGTCCAAGGACAATCCACAGCCACGCCACGGCCCTCCCAGGATTATCCCTATGTGAGTCCCCAAAAAGAGGGACGAAGGCCCCCTCCCAGCCTGAGAGGGAAGGTGAGCTTGGTGTCCCGAATCTGCGGGTGCCTGCCCAGCAGGCCCACACGGAGCGGCACGACACCTTTGCGGGCCCGGCGGTCAGCACGATGGAGCGGATCTCTGGGAGCACACCCGGGCACCCAGCCTGGAAGGACAGTAGGGACCATGGTGTCACTGGGGCAGAACGCCTCCTGTTGTCGCGAACGGGCCCTGTGTCCCCACAAGCAAAAGACAGAATCATTCAAATGGGCAGTACTCAGCCGCATGCAGGAACCACCGGGGCCAAGAGCCTGTGCGGCACATGTTTCCAAGGAAACTGCACGCGAACCTTCAACAAAAGTGTTTGTCACGTTCCCACGTATGCATTGTTTCACGTGTTGTGTGTTATTTACCGTGATGTCAGAATAATCCAGAAGACTGGCTTCTCCATTTGTCAACTGTGGTCACAGAAAACTGTCAACATTCAAATTCTGAGGCAGAGAATGCAGCGGGGCCCTGGGGACAGCATACATCCCACGCACGTGACGCGCTGGGGAAAACGGAATGGAAGTACGAGGTGAAGAACAGGAAACGGTGTGGAGTTTGTCACCTTCAAGAAAAACTTGTTGACTTTTTCTAGGTGAATAATGGTGGGTTTGAAGGCAAAACCGCATTTCGACTTCTTCAGGTGATTTTCCAAGTGATAGAATACAACAGCCAAGAGAAAGAAAGAACCCAAAGGTCCATCCACGGACAAGTGGGTAGACAAAATATGGCCTATCCACGCTATGGAATAGTATTCAGCCTTAAAAGGGAATAAAGTCGGGGTGCCTGGGTGGCTCAGTCAGTTAAGTGTCCAACTTCGGCTCAGGTCATGATCTTGTGGTTCACAAGTTCGAGCCCCGCGTCAGGCTCTGTGCTGACAGCTCGGAGCCTGGAGCCTGCTTCGGATTCTGTGTCTCCCTCTCTCTCTGACCCTCCCCCCATTCGTGCTCTGTCTCTCTCTGTCTCAAAGATAAATAAACATTAAAAAAAAAAAAAAGGATTAAAGTCATGATACAGGCTCTGGCGTGGCTGAGCCTGGAGCACGTCATGCTCAGGGAATAAGCCAGTTCCAGAAAGACAAATGCTGTGATTCCGCTCTAGGAGATCTCTGGGGGTGTTCCAGCCACACAGACAGAAGGTAGAAAGGTGGGAGCAGGAGATGGGGGTAGCTGTTTGACAGTTGTGGCCTCAGTTTTACCAGAAGAAAGCCCTAGAGATCTGTGACACAACCCAGTGTCACTAACGCTGCGGAGCTCTAAGAAAGAGTGCTTACAAGAGTAAATTTTCTACTGCATATTTTTTACCACATTTTTTTTAAAAACAAAAATGTGATGGAACAGTTTTATCTGAAAGTGCTGGAAATGACATGCTTCACATCTATTTAAACACTTATTTTTGAGAGAGAGCACACGCAAGCAGGGAAGGGGCAGAGAGAGAATCCCAAGCAGACTCCGTGTTGTCAGAGCAGAGTCTGGCACCGAGCTCAATCCCACAAATCTGAGCCGAAATCAAGAGTTGGACACAACTGATGGAACCACCCAGGCACCCCTATTTTGCATCTGTTTAAATATATGAAGAAAACAGTGGGATGTCAACTTAAAAAGTATGAGCGAGTAAATGTTTTCCAAGACCCTTTAAGAAGCACTCAGGCCAGACAGCTGGGAGGCCACCATGGTGGATGAGCTCCAGGGGCCCATCTGTGTGACCTTCGATGGCATCAGAATCACCGCAGACAAGGTCAAGTCCAGTGGAAAGACATGTGGTTGGGACCCACAGGCAGGCAACTGTTCCCGCCTGAAGGATGGCCCTGGCCCTGGTGACAGTTTATAGGGTGAGGCAGCTCTGAAATGAGGGGTCAGCTGAATTCTCTAGAATCTTCTAGAAGCCTCTGGAAGTGTGTGAAATCCAAGTGCTATCTGTGGGTCCATGAACCCAGGACCTCAGGCCTCTGAAATGGCACACGCAGTTAGGAATGAGAATCCCACCGGGTGTTCCTATCAAATCTGGTGAATTTGCCAAATCTGCTGACTGGCCACCCGCAGAGGAGCAGTGGGGCCCGTGGACCCACCCCCTGGTCGGGCGCTGAAGCCCTTCCTGCAGTGGAGTCGCGCCACGCAGATGAGAAGCTGCTCTTGGCCACGAGATGCATCGGCTCCGGGGTGCCCTTCTGGGTCCTAAAGCTGTGCCCCCTGCCCCGTGTGTCTCACTCCTAGAGCAGAGGTTTGTCCTGGGAGAGATTTTGCTTTGGAGAAGGGAGGCTGACTTCTTTTCACATCTTCGTGCCTACTGGGTGCTCGCCTTTTCGTTTTGTGTTTCCGAGTCATGAGCGTCCTCCTGCCCCTCACAGCCATCCTCTGAGACCTGAGCCCACCTGCCTCCTCCCCACACGGGTGGTGGGCCTCCTGTCCTGTGTGCCCTGGTGCTGGGTTACTCTAACGGGTCCTCAGATGCTGTCTACCGGCTCGTCTTAACCCGGAACACACCGAATGTGTCATTTTCTGGTTTCAGTTGCAGGTGAATTTACTGTCCAAATTTTTGCTGATCGCGAAGTCTTGCTACGAGCAAAGGAACTTTGCGACAGCCATGCAGATCCTGGGCGGCCTGGAGCACCTCGCAGTGAGGCAGTCCCCCGTGAGTCACCTCCAGGGGCGCTGGCCAGGGGCGGGCGTGTGGGCACCGGCTCGGCCACGGGGGTTCACTGTGCTTTTCTTTTAGGCCTGGAGAATCCTACCCGCGAAGATAGCAGAGGTCATGGAAGAGCTGAAAGCCGTGGAGGTACTGGTGCTGTGCCTGAGCTTCTGGCGGCTTCTGTCCACCTGGGGCTTCCCCTAAGGACACACCGCGTGCACCTCCGCGGGGCTCACCGGGCAGAGTCTGCGTCGTGGCGCCCGGGCCGCACGGCCCCCTCGGAGTCGTGCGTGGAGCAGCCCGGCTAGCCTGGTCTTGCACGCCTCCCCATGAGGCCTCTGCCACTCAGCTGGGCAGAGACCCAGGGGCCAGTGCCCAGGATACAGGTGCCCAGAGGACCAGACTGAGCTGAACTGGCCCTCTGGCCTCGGTGCTTCTCCCCAAGTACAGAGGCACCTGCCTCATGAGATCAGAAACGAGGAAGTGCTGGAACGGTGGGCATTTCCCCGGATGCGGCAGCAGGAGCAGAGGCCCCGCGGCCCCCACCCCGGGCCCGGCCCCCTGCAGGGCGGGAGGGCTGCTGCGTGTCCTCGGTTGACGCCGGAAACAGGTCCCTGAAGCCGGCCGGCCTGGGTCTTATTGTCACTTGGGCAGCTGGGTCACCTGGCTGTTTGCTGGAGCCCGGCAGAGAGTAGGTTAGGAAACGATGCCGGGACGCGTGCGGCTTTCTGCTGGATGTCCGGGTCCCCCGTGTCTGCCAGTCTCAGACATCCGCACCGCCGACCCCCGTCCAGTCATCCCAGGCATGCTTTGGATTGGATGGAAATCAGTGCTGTGCAGCCCCATGCAGGGGATTGGCTGAGCTGAGGGCCCTGGACTGACTCTCACCTGTCTCCCCCTGCCCACGCCCCCGGCTGGGCCCCCAGGTCTTCCTGAAGAGCGACAGCCTGTGTCTTATGGAAGGACGGCGCTTCCGGGCCCAGCCCACTCTGCCCTCGGCGCGCCTCCTGGCCATGCACATCCAGCAGCTGGAGACGGGGGGCTTCACCATGACTAACGGGGCCCACAGATGGAGCAAGCTCAGGTGAGGGCCTTGCTCCCCATGGCCCCATGGGCCCCTCGCGCTAGAGCTGTCTACACAGCCCGCTCCTGCGGGGCCGTGGTTCCCCTGCCCGACACCCCTGGGCGCTCGGCATGCCTGGGAGGTACAGACCGGGGGCCGCTTGTGAAAGCCACCGCGGCGGTCCCAGCCAAGGCGGGCCATTGCTCATTTCTGCCTCGGAGGATGCGAGCATGCCCGGAGAAGCCCGGCCTCCAGCCCACCTCTCCTGGGAGCTCCAGGCCTCCTCCGAGACGCCCCCGCATGTCTCAGGACCGGGCCAGCCCTTCTCCAGTGGGCCTGCACCCACCCCCCCCCCCACACACACAACCCCCCCAGCCTCGCACCCACCCTGCTCTCCTCCCGTCTCTTCTCCACACCAGCCACGTGCACAGTCAGGTGGAAGCTGGTCAGACCACAGTCCAGCTGCACTCAGGGTGGAGGGCTGGCCTCAGCAGGCACGGCCCAGGGGCCTTGGAGCCCAGCGGTTCCAACCTGCTATGTGCAAGGCCTCCTTTCGGTCACCAACTTAAAAAGTGCTTAAGAGACACCACAGTGCACGTTAATCCGTGTCAGCAGAATGGCAGGCCACGATCCAGAAGGCACAGGGGATGAGACCTAATGAGGCCTCTTCTTAACTCTATTGTACGTCTGGATCCAAGAGCCTGGTCCCCCACACTGGACCATCTCCGTCCACAGTCGCGACGGGAAGACGTGTGTGGAGCCCACGGCTTCCCCCCTTCCTGGACGGCCCCCACCCCCACCTCTGGGGCTGTGTGGCCTCTGTTTAACTTGCAGCTCTGAGGGGAGGCAAGCCCCGCTCCACAGTGTCAGCCAAGCCCCGGGGTGTAAATGCCCCCACGGTGGTGGCTCTTGAGCTGTCAGGTGATGTCCCTGAACACAGAGCTGGGGGGGAGCATGTGCCCAGTGGCCCCTGCATCTCCCTACCTCACGTTTCTCCTCTGCGGGCCCTGGATGGCTGACACTGGGGTCTATTCACGTCGGAACCCTCAGCACTGACCAGACCCGACACAGACGTTCAGTAAATGTTTGTGGGACGGAAAGTGGACGGATGGACAGAGGGACGGATGGGAGCGCGGGTAGACAAACAGGCCTGAGTAACGAAACGAGGTTTGGCCGTCAGAATAAATACGGAAACTCACCCAGAGCTGATACCAGAAGAGGTTTGGGTTAGACGTTTCCGGTGACGCGCCGGGAACTCCCAAGCCACGGCCTCGTGCGAACTAACGGTTCACTTCTCCCCAACACAGGAACATAGCCAAGGTGGTGAGTCAGGTCCACGCGTTCCAGGAGAACCCCTACACGTTTGCCCCCGACCACAAGCTGCAGTCCTACCTCAAGCAAAGAATCGCCCGCTTTAGCGGGGCCGACATCTCCACATTGGCGGCCGACAACAGGGCCTCCTTCCACCAGATCACCAGCGAGAAGCACTCCCGCAAGATCCAGGACAAGTTACGGAGAATGAAAGCCACGTTCCAGTAACGGGACGGTGGATGTGATGAGAATGCCAAATCGGGGACAGGACTGGGGCAGAAAAGAGCCGCCCGCTTGCCGTCCAGGCCCAGGAAGCCCGTGCAGCCCAGCGTCTGCTGCCCCGGACGGGGGACCCCCAGTGCAGGAGCCAGGGCCCAGCCGGGGCGTCGGGGTGCATGCCCGGGGGGCTCTGGGGGGTGGAGGCCCGAGGGCCTTGCCGAGAGGGAGAGGATGGGGGCTCTGGTGGAGGTTGGGGTATTGCTGCTAGTTTAAAACTATATTTTAAAATTAACACAAAAATAGAATAAGTAAACTCCCCAGGAGCCACATACCCACTTATACTTCTTAGAGATAAACCGCTCTCTGCCAACTCTCCAGGGATCCCGCCCCCCCAAAACCCCACAGCCACCCACCCTGACTCAGAGCATTGTTTTCTTGAGTCCAGCTTATGTCTGCCCAGCAACCAAGGACCAAACTGACCTCTGACCCCCATGCCAACCATAGGCTCCAGGGGTGTCCGAAACCTTCCCCTGGGGCCCTGAGGCTTCCTTCCCAGTGGCCCAAGCCCCAGCCTGGGCCCACACTCCTACCCTCAGGCCTCCTCCCACCCCACAAAACCCCCCTCCCCACCCCCAGACCTCCCCCATACCTCACACCTACCCCTGTCTCCCAACCTCCCGCTCCCCACCCCAGGCCTACTACCCCCGCAAATACCCCCTCCCCAACCCCAGACCATCCCCCAAACTCCTCCTCCTCCTCACCCCCAGACCTCCCCCCACACGCAACATCCCCCTCCCTTCCACCCAGACCTCCCCCAGATCTCCTCCCACATCCCAGACTTCCCCCCCCCAACACCTCACACCTATACCCATCTTCCACCCAGACCTCCCTCTCCCCACCTCCTGACCGCCCAAATTCTCCCTTCCCACCCCCAGACCTCCCCCCACACCCAAATTCCCCCTTCCTACCCCCAGACCTCCCCCACACCCCCCTTCCTACCCCCAGACCTCCCACACACCCCCCTTCCCCTGACCACCTCCTTCCAGACCTCCCCTTTAGGGGCCCAGCTCAGCTCACCCCCATTCCTGCCAAGTGGGGGTGCCTGAGTTTTGCAGCCCTTGCCCCAGCAGGCAGCCCCGCCTCTGGTTGCTGGTGAGGGAGCACCTCACGGCTCCACACCGGCAGCCCCCCAAGTGCCCGCGGCCCCTGCCCAACCCCCACCCCTTAGGACAGTTCCTGGTGAGGCCCTCGAGGCTCTGCTTCCTAGCAAAGCACACAGGATACAAACAGCAGCTCCAAAGCCGACTCAAGGCCTCCTGGGCCCTGAGAGCCTCCCCCAGCCCCATCTGGGGGCCTCAGGCCTGTGGCCCAGGTCCATCTGCCGCCAGCAGCCAGCATGCGCTGCACACGCCTACGCCCGGGCTCTCACAGCTTGCCTTCGCTAGCGCTCCGTCAGAACCGTGGGGGAGGTGACGTCAGAACTCGGAGGAGGTGACGTCAGAACCGTGGAGGAGGTGGCTTGGATTCCAAACAGCTGGTATTGAGCATTTGCTCAGCGGCCAGAAGACCCCCTCGGCCAGGTGTACAGGGACCAGGAAGGTGCGGTCACGGCCCCCACACGGGGAGATCAGGCCCCCTGGCACCGTCCCAGGCGCCACCGATCTTAGGTTGCACATCGTTGCAAGACCCAAGGCTGTTCTCTAGAGTCTCAGAACTGGAGATTCTTTAGAACAGCCAGCTGTTAGTATTTCTGGGGAAACAGTTACTTGTGATAAAATACAGAGTTTGTAATGTCAAGATGTGTTTCCCACACAAATTCATTTGCGACACGTAGGTCCTGCTTAAACGGAATATAAGAGGAACTCGGCACTCCCCGCCACGCAAGTTCGGGTTTTTTTCGGCTTTTATATGAGGATTATGTTCTACCAAACAACACTTACATTTTCAGATTTTGAATTTAACAAAGGTGGTGTCACAGAGCCTGAAACTGCAGGTCTGGCGCAAATAAACATTCCAACCGTTAACAGTTTATTCACAGGGAAGTGACTGGGCTTTCAGCTTAAGCACGATCGTCTGCATGTCGCCCAAATGTCACTGGTACAGATTTCTAAATAAAGTCATTTCTACCAAGATGGCTTCCGTACGGCTTGTCTCCAGACTGACACTCGCACCGGGAGTCACGTGGGCTCCTCCGTGGCCGGACGAAGACAACTTCAGGGGTGCTCGCGAAGGCACCAGGGGACGAGAAGTACCGGCCACAGGCAGTATGTCCTTGGGTGGCACGGAGAAGGGCCAGATCTGCCAACTCGTTTAATTCCGGCCCCACCAGAGCGGAATCCCAGAACTGCTGGGCCCATGAGCACGCGGTCTCTCCGTTGCCATAGGAGGCGTTTGCCCGCAAACCACTCAAATTAGGTGAGCCACCAAAGCTCGTTCTGCCACGGACTGGGCGTCCCCAGCCGGTTCCCACCCGAAGGCCGCTGGCCTCACCCTGAGCCTGAGGGCAGGACGGCCGGGTCCTCCCTCACCAGGGCAAGACAGGGATGTTCCTTGAGGCTTGCTTGCCGCGGGGAAGGGTCCTGCCAGACACCGCGAAAGGAGGGGCAGGAGACCAGGGGTTCGAAGAATTTGGGGACAAACATGGTTGTTTTCTGTGGAAAAGCCACCCGGGGAGTCCCTGTAATAAAGGGTAAAGTCCCCCGCCTGGCAAGAGCGTCCTGTTAGAGTCACGTTACCGCGCACGGTGGCTGCACGGGTGGGTCCCAGTGTCCCAGTCGCGGGTGGGTGGGTGGTTTGGGTCCTTACCCACCTTAAAATCACTAAACCCTGGTCTCTCTTCCCCCCTGAGACAGGAGGACCGGGATCTCCTTCCACTGCCCTGGGTCTAATCAAATCAGCAGGTTTTCCTTTAGGACAATTGACAACCAGTGACCCCTTAGGCCCCCAAGCGAGCCATGCTTCCCAGGTCCCCACCCTGGGCAGTCCACTCCTATGCTGATGAAGGCTGGCCCGGTGTATCCGTGCTCTGGGGAAAGGCCCCACCACGGGCAACGTTTGAGTACCCCGAGACCACCATGCTGGAGCAGGCCCAAGGCAGCAGTCCTGAGCGGACGGAGCGGAGACGGGAGAGACGTCCGGCCAGCGGGCCCCGGAGCCGCCCGGGCACCAGCACATGCCGCTTAGAGGCCTGTGGGACCCCAAACAGCCAGGCCAGGGCCCCGGAAACGGTGCCACACCCGCCCGCCCCAGTCCCAAGGGAACGCCCAGCAGCCCACCCGAACCCTCGTCCTAACTCTGACCACAGAATCAGCGGCATAACCAAACAGGGCCAGCGCCGGCCACTGCTCAGAGTCAACGGTTATGCCGTGGCGCATGACGCAGCTCCTTGTTGCGTGCTGAGGGGCAGACGGCTCCCCGCACCGAGGTGGTCGTCTGCTCTGTGAAAGAGGTCCCCGTCAGCTGGCCCGCCCACCGGCATCAGCCCCCAGACGGGTGGTTTGGTGTTGTTTGCCGTGGCTCCTACTGCTGTCTGAAGCTTGCTCCAAAGGCGGGAGGGATTCGCACGGGCACACTGTGCCTGGAGCTGCCCCAGTGTCTTCAGCTGCCTCCCACCCCTTTGGGGGGCTGACCTAAGTCTCCCTGGAAAACAGTGTTTTGAAAGGAAACTGCGAGGCCAAAGACCATATTAGGCCTGCACCCCAGTCGATGGACTGACTTCTCCCAGGGAACTCGGCTCAGCAATCCTAAAGCTACTTCCCTTGCACAGTAGGGTTGATCCATAAATACGTAAGCTGTAGATAAGGGAGCCGGGGCCTCCCGCTGTCAGAGAAAGAAGTTGCAGCAAAGCCAGTGGGGAGGCCAGGTGTGGACACGTGGGTGGGTGCACATACACATGCTTCCTAACTCACCCTCCACGGGGCCAGCACACAGCCCGGTCACAGCCCCACTGATGCGCTGGGTGGATGGGCCACCCTGTGCACTGTGGGGTGTTTCCCAGCACCTCTGGTCTCTACGCCCTACATGCCAGCAGCAGCCCCCAAGTTGTGACAGCCAACATCTCCAGACACCAACAAATATCCCCGGGGGGGGGGGGGGAGACTACTCCCCACCGAGACCCAGTGGCTGGGAAGCAGTGACACCCCAGTAGCAACAGGCACACCTGTCTCCAGATCTTGGATTCCAGATACCACTCTCCCCAAAAGAAGGAACCACAGATTTTTGGAGAAATGGCAAATTGCTTGATTCTAGGGCTGGAGTAGGGAAAGCACAAGATCATCAGAAGTCTCTGGCAGCGGCACAAAGCAGAGAAGTACTGGGGGTGGGGGGCATGTCAGAAGGACACAGGATGAGAGGGAAAGAGGAAGAGAGCTGGGGCGATCCGGGCGCCTCCAGCCGATGGCATGGGACGGCACCCCGTCATGCAGGACGGCACGAGTCCCCTGATAAGGAGGAATTACAGGAGAGCCCCAAACAACGTGGCCACCCCCCTCAAAGGGCAGCCCGCTCACCCCCACGCGAGGGGTGCATTTGGTGACCGGACGGTGGAGAGGTGGCGGGCACCCCGGCAACGTCTGTCTTCTTCCCAAACGCCCACAAGCCCGGGCTCATCATGAGAAGGCATCTGACAAACCCAAGGTGAAGGGCACCCACAAAGCACCGAGCAGTCTCCTCAAAGTGTCCCACAACAAGAGTGGGAAACTGCCAGGGTCCAGAGGGGAGAGAGGAGGTGAGACGACCGCACGCGGTGCGGTGCCCTGGACCGGGTCCTGGGACAGAACAGGCTCGTTTCTGGGAAACCTGTTAAGACCCAAGTCAAGTCTGTGGCTCATTCAATGGTGTCCTGCCAACGTGAATTCCTCGGCTTTGACAAAGGTGCTGTGGTCCCACGAGATGCTCCAGTCCCTTCTGTGCCACCAATTACCCCAAACGAAAAAGTTGTAAAAACGACTATAGCTAGTATATGGAAATACAATTGATTTTTGTTTATTGTTGTACTCAATGACCTTGCTAAACTCATTTACTAATTCTAATAATGTGGTTGCAGATCATTTTGTATTTCCTACTTTTACAATCATATCACCTGAAAACAATGATGGTTTTACTTCTTCATTTCCAATTTTATAAACCTTACTCCTTTTTCTTGCCTTATTGCTCTGGCTACACTTCCAGAATGATGTTGAATAGAACCAGTGATGCTGGGGCATCCTTGTCTTCTTCCTAGTTGCAGGAGGAAATGCTCAATACTCTCTATTAACCTGATGTTAAGGGTAGTTATTAGAATAAAGCAGTTTTTTCCTGTGAAGTGTGTGTGTGTGTGTGTGTGAGAGAGAGAGAGAGAGAGAGAGAGAGAGAGAAAGAGAGACACGGAATGAATTATGACACCAATTCTGAGCTTCTGAGCTCTGGTCATAACTCAGCAGATCCTGCCCTGAGCTGGCTGCACGCAGCGGCGACCCCACCTCGGTGCTCACACCAGAACCACGGCAGGTGGGGGCGGGGCCCAAACACCAGCGCCTCGGCGAACTACTGGCGGAGACGCGCCTGAGGCAAATGGGAGGGGCGCGGGGGCGCCTTTGGGAGCTGGAATGTTCCACGGCTAGGTCTGCGCGGCGGTGAAAGGGCACGGCACATGCGTAAAAACGAATCGGAGCTTGCGCGTCTCGGGCAAGCTGCCGTATCCGTTTGTTCGTCAACTCCAGAGTTTAAAAAGTAGAGCCGCTGTGGTTTGTCGGGCTGTTCCTAGCCAGGGCCCGGGCCGGCCCAAGTTGAAGTCGGCTGGCTGGGTGGGGGCGGGGCGGGACGGGGCGGGGCGCGCGGGGGCGGACGGCGTAGACCCGCTACGGCTCTCGCTCCGGCTCCGGCTCCCGCTCCTTCTCCGGCGAGCGTGCACCCTCTGATCCCGTGCAGGCGGCCTCTCTCGGGCCGCGGCCCCGACCCCACGCGCCCCGCCGGCCCCGGG